TTTTCTTTTCCCTTATTACTCTTCCCCTATCCGTCCCACTTTCCCTACACCTTTAGTCCTTTTCTTCCCATTTTACAATGTCAGTTATCTCATTAGGATCTTATGTACCCTTATAGTTTATCACACCAGAGAAACTATTCGGTATTTACAAGTGCGACTTATTTATTTCACTTAGGAGTATATCCTCCATATTTATCCATTTTCCTATGAATGAATCTAATTTCTCATTCTTTATGGCTAATGTTCCATTTTATAGAAAAACCACATCGTCTTTATCCAGTTTCCAATTGATGGGCAAATGGGCTGTTTCCAAGTTTTAGCTGTTACAAACTGTGCCACTATAAACATGGGTGCGCATATATCACTGTGATATGATTCTTTTAATTCTTTTGGAAAGAGACCCAGCAGAGGGATGGCTGGGTCAAATGGAACCTGTAGTCCTTCATTAGCTTTTAACTTACAGCTAGGTATAATATCTATTTATTAATATAAACTCTATCTCAATTCCAAAAGGATATGAGCTACTATTTTACAACATATAGTATTGAAAAGACAAGGATAATTTCAATTTACAATTAATCCCAAAACTTGAAAGAGCACTCTACTAGAAGCCAAAAGATGCAGATTCTAATTCCAGTTCGTTAAACACTTAGTTTTTAGACCTCAGAGCACACATTCACTTTAAGCTTTTATGTTTATAGGTAATATAATTTCAAATGTCTGAACAACTGCCAATCATCAAACTATATAATAGTGTCTTTCTAGATCAGTATTTCACAAAATTTCTTCAGAGAGGTGCATAATTCTTTTCAGTAGAGTTGGACTTTTTTGCTGTAGGACTTCTAAGAAGGATCTGAATTCTGTTTATTGCCTGCTCAACAGAATTGTAGCCCCCTTCCTTTCCTGCTAGCATAATCAATACTATTTGTCCATAGCTGGAGCATGAACAAATATTATTAACTAACTAGAGTAAAACATCTGTTGAGTCACTTAAATATATTCAGAAGAACCACAGGGTTCTACAGAGAAGACTTGGAAATTCTTGAACTATGTGACTTTATTACTCTCACTATTATGAGTGATTCTTTACTATTCCACCTGATGTTTAGGCTACTTTATCTCTTAAATTTCTTAGGCTAACAATTTCTAGGATGAAAGGAAATAGACAATGGCCAGTTGCAGAACTACGGAATCCTGTAGTGCTGCTATGATTTGCTAGTTGGGACTGAGTCAGGGTTCAGTCATTTGGCATTACATTAGAAAATAAATGGTAGGAAATAATTTAGATGAATGAGGTTGGAATTATGTGTTTGTCCACTTGATTTAAAACTCTTCTTACAAATTAAAACTATACCTCATTAGCTTATTCAGCATGACAATATGAAGCCTTTTAGGTGGGCAGAAGGTTTTTGATGTTTACCTGTGTCATCCATCTTTGTTGAATAAAGGAATACATCTTCTTTTTCATTTATGGCACTGCCTTATAGATGTAAACAAGGCTTTACAAAAAGGTTTGTATTTGAGTATCAGCTTAAAAGGTTCACATGAATTCAAGGGGTAAAAAAGACTCAAAGGAGCAATGCAGGTCAATGGACCATTACCTACAAAGACACAGAGATTTGAAAAAAAAAAAAGTAGTAAGTTTGGGAAATGGCAAGTAGCTCACAGTAGCTACAGGTTGACTGTGCAGGAATGGCCAGCAATACAGACAGGCCAAGAAGAGGATAGGCCATCCTATGGTGGAAAAGAAGGTTTAAAATTATACTGGACATTAAGTATATTTTGATCTCAGATACCAATAAAAGACACATTTTGATGACAGAATTACCCAGCATAAAAAATGTCTTGATGTCTAACATTCATTAAATATGTCTCTTCAGTAAGAAGAGCATAGAATAAATAGTGATTAATTTTGCCATTTTCTTGAATAGGCCTTAAGAGTGAGAAAAGCAGTGATAATTGAGATGTACTTCTCCTAAGCTATACTAGCAAATGAGCTCCTTCAGAAACAAAATCAGCCCTGGTGGCCTCTGGGAGATGAGTGGGTCCAATGAAAAGGCTAACAGCTCTGTGTACGATGACACCTTATGGGCACCCTGTCCTGATGAGGGCTATGTATTCAGTGATAGCATCTTCCAATTCTTCATCTAAACCGCACAGACAACATAATTGGGTTGCACTCCAGGGGAGCCAGAAGCATTGCGTGTACTGCCAACTGTATCGCTCCACCCTGAGTTACCTGCTGGTGATCCTTTCTTAACCTGGGACCAATAAGAGAAAAAGACAAGAGCGACCAAAATGCCTGTGTTGCGGTCTTCTTTCACTTCTCTATCTCTACCTGATAAAACAGGTAAATACAAATTTCCCTTCATTATTTCAGAAATGGAAAGTACTCAGTCTGCTACATCATGAAGATAAGGAAAGGGATAATTTTTTCCTATTATTTATCACTACCCAATGTCCTCCAGCTGATTCAGAGCAATTACTTGTATTATCTGGCCAATGAGTTTGGACATGGTTCTCAGGGCAGTGGGGAACGACTGGAGGTTTTCTAAGCAGGAGACTTATATATTCAGATCTCTGCTTCAGAAAGGTCATGCTGGCAACAGCAGGGACCGAAGAAGACAGGTGCTGTGAATGAGAGGTCAGCCCAAGGCCTGTGCAGTGATCTAACTGACGACCACACTCTGGCCTGGCAGAGCAGCTATGGACAGGGAAGCTAAACAGTGGACAGAGGAGAGAGTGCAGAAATACAAGGAGGAGCTTGAGATGATGCCAAGGACCTAGGCTCAGTGGGTGGGAGGCGACTTTTGTCACTCAAACATGAATGTTGACTAATCTTATCATTTAATTTATTTTACTGAGTAAAATGGGATTTGGAGTCAAGGAGTTTAGTCTTTCTGAGGTTTTGTTATATATTTAAAAAATAAAACCCAGGAAAGTTCTATCAATTTATTATTTTGTAAAAAGCATATTAGAGGCAGCATAATAAAAAGGATTCCTAACTTTTCCAGTAAGGTTCAAATCCTGGCTCTACCACCTAACAGCCATATAAGTTTAGATAAATTAGTAAATATCTGGGTACTTAATCCTCATTTCTTAAATAGAAGAAAATAATAATACCTAACTAAGTATTCTGAGACTAGAATAAAGTATTAAGAGTAAAGGATTTATTTTATTCAGTCCATTAACTTCAGCTCAGGCTCTGGGATGTAGTCTTCATTTAACAAATATTTTCTATCCTTGTCTAATAAAAAAACAATCAGTTCTGAAGGAGTCAAAAGTCCACTTTCAAAGGAGGGAAAGCTCAGATAACTTTCCTTTTGCTTGTATTCAGCATTATGATGAAAAGAGTTGCACAGGTGGCCCAATAGGTGAAAAATAACAACTGTAAAAGCATTGAAGGAAAACTCACAAAAGAAAGGTTGAAAACAAGTTCCCAGGCACAGAGAAACATTGAGGTTCAGCCTTTTGAAGCCCACAACACTTACTTGTAAGTAGAATATTAAAAATAAACAAGAGCAATTTTCTCCTTTGGCCTTCCCTTACTGACTAGTTTTCCTCTCATACTATTTACATAATGGGTACCTTTTCATACATTATGCAAATGAACAATGTGGCTGTGAGGTTGCTGAAGCCACAGTCCTGGCCCCAGAGGAAGAGCTGCTGCCCATCCCTCCACTATCTATGTTCTAGTAGACCACTTTGCTAGCCTGATTTCTGAAAGACAGACAAAAACCATGAAGACTATAGGTCATTAATTTTCCTTTCATTGGTTTTCAAAGAAAGAGTGCAGAAGCTTTTCAGAAAAATAGGAACAAAATATGATTATTTGGTATAGTCATACATAAAATCAACTTACTTGTATAGATTTCATTTGAAATGGTGAAAGTGAGTACTATGCAAAAATTTTACAATTCTGAGCACACACTTTGCTCCAAAAAATTCTCTTTGCAAAGTGAGAAAAGCCTGTCCTTCTGGCTTGAGAATTAAACTGTGATAAGTGTGTTAAGCAGCCTCAGAATGTTGTATACATATTCAACAGAAATAACAATTGTTTTATGTATCACAATATTACTGGATTTTTTCAAAAATTCCATGCTGTTAAATTGACCTAAACTTTAGGAGGTATCACCAAAATATATTATTTCTTTTTGAGTTGCAAATTGACTGAAATTTTAGAAGAATGTTTACTTTCTTTCTAGAAACACCTTCAAAACAAATATGAAAAAGAATTCTCAGCAAAATTGCCAGGTGAATTGTTCTTGTTTGAATAAACCAGCAGGAAAGAATTTCAAAACTAATTTCAAAATATTTTCTCTAAGGTCTGAAATATATATTGGAAGAAAAAAAAAACAGCTAAGGAAGAAAGTGGCCTTCCTTTCTAGTCTGGGTTATTTGATAAAGCACTGCTTTCTCCAAATGACTTTTTCAACAAATTATTTTTTTAAAATTTTATTTATTTAGTTAATTTTTATTCATTAAGTTTATTGTTACATTTCATATCCATCAACTAGTGACTGGTTAAGGAAGATGTGATTAAGGAAGCTTAAGAAAGATGTAGATTTTTAAATAAAATGAAGTACTGCTCAGCCAGAAAGAATGAGAAACTAGAGACATTGAAATAAATAGGACACACATGTGTGTAAATACCGAATAGTTTCTCTGGTGTGAGAAACCAAAAGTGCAAATGAGGATCAAAATGTATAACAGAAAATTTAAAAAGTGATCCTCATAGGATACCGGAGAACCTCATAATTTAGTCTTGACTTTTTCCTTTGTTACTTCAAGGACATGCAATTCAGATTCACCTTTAATTCAAGGGGGAAAAAAATCTACCTATAGTACTTAGCTGAGCTGCAGAAGCTGAAAAGAAATATTTTTTAAAAAGCACGGCAAACACGATTTTTAAAGAAAAAATATTAATAGGACACAGGTCATAAAGAAGCAACACAGTTGATAAGATTATGTACTTTCACCCAGGTGGACGATGCACATACCTAATTTCAGAGCAGAAGGGGTTACTTCAATTTCCCCACCGATTGGTCTAAATGCAGCCAGCTGGGCAGCCACTTCTGTCTCCAAAGCATCTGGGCTCTGCCGATCTGCAGGGTTTCCACTGGGGCTCTCAATCTTGTGGAGTGGTTCTTGTTCCTCAAACACAGCAATCAGCTACAAACAAGTCCAACAACACTAATTACTTTGTAGGACATGTATATCACAGAGACATTGTATCTGATTGATTGTGATCTTTATTTGGGTTTAAAGAATAAACCTCTGCAAACCTTTTTCTTTACTGTTACTATATCACAACTCTTGATTCTTCAATGCTATTATGTCTCCAAGCACCATGGCCAGGACATAATGAATGGTTTGTTCTTCTGTTTATTTAGTCTATTCCTAAAATAGGCAGCTAACTCTTTTCAAGGAGTGCAAGGACTTCCCCATTTGTTTTGCCACTTTTTGCCATTTTGACTAAAAGATTTTACTGTCTTTTTATTTCAAAAATATTCCTAAGGAAAATGGAAGCTAAATATGCACAATTGACAAACAGATTTAGTATAGACAATATACACTGAAAAACAGATGCAGTAAAAGTGGATATCTCAGTCTTGGAAAGCTAAATCACATTACAAAATCTCTAATTACAACTATCCTCCTAGACGATATCTAAATCTACACATGTGCACTCACAATGCATTGTTATAAACAGTCTGTTCTTGTCATATAGACATAGATATCTCATGCTTGTACATCCCTCTCATTTCATTCTTTTCCTTCAAACTTACTCTATGTTGAACAGTCGAAGTCCAATATCCTAAGTCTAAAGTGATATAAATCAGCACTTTTAACCTAATTATTCCCATCTCTATCTCAATGTTGTTTCATACGAGAGCTATGTGTATCATCAATATAAAAACTTTGAATTTTCATTTCTAAGTCATTTTCATTAAAAATATATATATTAAAATAGTTCTCCCTCTTACTCAGACAGAACTGCACAGATAGCAAGGGCAGAGGCTACACTTTTGGCTGGTTGAGAGCATCACCATAGTGAACTTCAAATGTTCCTTGTCAGCTGATAGAAAAAAGTTCAAGTGTGAACTCAGGCAGCATCTCAGGGATGTTACTCTCAATCCAAAAAGTGCAGTGTGAAAATTTCAAAACCGCTAGTAAACCTTTGGACATTTTTCATTCATTAAATAAAAAAACCTACTTATGAGTCAAACATTTACTTAGAAAAGGCACTTCAAAGCCCCATTTATAGGAGAACCTTTTTGGCAATGGTATTAATAACACAAGTGCTGGAATAACCAATGAAAACATCAAAAATTCCAACTTCTATCTTTCAAAAGAAATTAATACAATTACAGATATGTAAATTGGCTATTTAAAAATAATTTTCATAATTGACTACTCATTTCCAGTATGGAGACTTCTTTAATTGGAAAACCCAATAATCCTCTCACCACAGAAAAGAAATGCTTACTCCCAAGGCATTATTTTTAATTCTTGAAATTGAGCACATGCATTTTCTATCTTTAATTGCTAGCATTGATGAATTGATTTGAGATAAGACTTAAATGGATTAATAATGAAGACTATTCTGGTATAAAAATAATCCACAGAAGCATAAGTTTCTAATCATCTGGTCAAAATGAAAAGTTTAAGACTTTAAAACTTGAAAAGAAAAATAAAATTAGTATTTAAAATGTGACAAAAAAGAGAAGTGTTTTCATCACAATTCCTATACCACAAGTATGATTTTAATTTTGCATATTGGTGAATTCTAATATATATCTGTCATGTTCATTTTAATATACTAATCAAATAGGCTGTGGTATATCATAATGGCACTATGAACATATTGTATAAGAGTGATATCTTTCTTTTCTTTCTTGCCATGTCTTTAACCTTCAGTATAATTCATGTGCTTCAGTTGTTGGGGAAGAGAAAATAGTAGGATATCAGTCAGATAGAATATGAAAGATTAAAATTGAGATATTCGAAGATAAAGTACTATCTATCTCTTGTCATAAGATAATTTAACACTTCTCATACATTATATTCATATGAGTTTATAGTACATGTAGGAACAAGATTATAGCTATTTATTAAATGGTAAAATACAATGTTTTGGAGATCTTTGTCTTCTCAAGGTATTGGTTAAATAATGTCTGGCAATAATAGAATCAGCCCCCGCCCCCCACTTCAGTATTTCAGACCAATCTAGAATCATTTTTTCTTTCTCAAAATTAAACTATAAAAAGAAAGACTACATTGTAGGATGTTTGCAGTTTGTGGATGGAGGTCATATGCATTTTTTTGATACAGCGGTACATGGCTCTTCCTGCAGGTGACAGCAAGACCTGGATGCTCCCCAAATATCACACTATCTTTAGTTAGTGTTTAATCTGCCTTGCGATGCTATGATGGTCAGGAATTGCCTTAGCAGGAATTCCTTAGCAGGAATTGCCTTGGTCAGGAATTCCGCCTGATGAAATGGTGGAAATCAAGGCTCTACTCTTGGGGAAAGGAAAACCAGCCCCTGAATCTGTGGTGCCCCAACAACCAAGCTGTTCCCAAGTGCTGGTGGATAATAAAGACTTTCCATCTAGTCTGTATCTTGACTTCCATAACATACACAGACTTATGCTTGTTTTAACACTCAAAATTTATTGAAATCCTGTCCTATAAATTTTTTTACCTGGATCCCTCATTTCTTGAGGACACCTACATTACTGAGGAACAGAGTTTCTGAAAGATACTGTTAGATATGCAGTGAGTAGCATAAACCTCAATCTCAGTCCCTCAACCAGAAGGCACACTGGTTTCCAAAAGCATTCAGTGCATGCAAATAGCCCCAACCCCTGCCTTTAAATCCATTGAGAGTTACCTTTCTCTCATACAAGAGTCAGCCATAAAGAAACTTTTAATGACTCTGGGGGTTTCACCTAAACTTCTGTGGGACCTGGAAATCTTAGGGCTGTAGTAAACAATACCTCATTCAAAATACAAACTGACAGTATGTGATTTGGAGGTCTTCCTTGGCCATTGGTCTATCTTCTATCATGTCTTATATTCTCCTTCTATGATGGCAGTGTTCTCACGTCATCAAGCATAGTCCTGGCATTTCCCAACAACCTCATAACACAAAATGACCTGTCATATTGTTTTGTCACATGTTTTACTTCAAACAAAAGTGCTTTCTCCTTAGATCTGTCAGCACTTACGATGTAATCTCAGCTGGATACAGTTAGATCAGTCCATAAATAATGCTATCATTTCTTCCATCCAACCCAAACACAAAATTTCTGAGGATTCACTTACTCTAAAGGTACCAACCCACTTCTTGCTTCCCCTCTAAGACAACTCTGAAGGCACTACTTACACAGTAATTGCCAACCTTGCTTCCAATTTCCCATTCTTTACAGAAGCAGCTCTACTCAGGCTGTGACCACTTACAGCAACACCTCCATCAACAGTTTTGTTTCTATATAGGCTTCTGTCCTCTGTAGAGGAATATTCAACACAGTAGCCAGATAATGAGCCTTGTCTCATTATGCCTCTCTTCCAGTCAGACCCTCATAATACCTTTCTACTTTCCATGAATTGAAGAAAAAAACTCCACGCCCTTGAAGTAGCTATAAGGTCTGTGGTGCCCCAGTACCATTTCTGACCTTGTGTTCTGATTATACTTTCCGTTTACATGATGGTATCTATTTATACTACCATCTCTGTAGCCCTCTCAGGGTCTTTGTATTTGCAGTGCTTTCTCCCTGGAACAGTTTTCCACCAGATGGGTATCTCGCTCCTCAACCCTTGATATCTTTACTCAAATGCAAGCATTCCCTGGCTATATGGAACTTTGACATCCTCACTACCACCTGAAATCCCCTTCTTATATTCCTTATAGCACTCATCAACTCTGGGTGTTACACCTTTTCTTATTTGTTTCATTTCTTGCCTATCTCTTTATTTTACTAGAATGCAAACTTTAACAGTACAGCTAGTTACCTTTGTCTCTATTGTTGATAATTGTACCGCCATTGGCTAAAACAGAGAAGATGATGTAAGAGGTGCTTAATGTATGTGTATTTGCTGAATAAAAATAAGTGAAATAAAGAAGGAAACTAGATTCTAAAACCTAATATGTCAACAAGAGATACCCAGAATTTCATGTTTTCAGAACATTCAACTTAAAAAATTTAAATGAATGTGGATCAGTAACCAATAATTACCCTGTAGTTGTCTAAATATCATCATCATAAATATTGTTGTTTTGCTTTTAAAATTATGAAGAGACTTCTTATTTTCTACTCAAGACTGGGGAAACTGCTTCTACCACATCATACTCCAGAAAAGGAGTTTATGCATCTTCTAGCTCCTTTTCAGGTTTACTTTGAAAGGAAGGAATCAGCTTACTTGGTCTCTGATAAACAGAAACACTAAAGTAGGGGTGGAGGGCGGAGGAGGTGGCAGGTCAGTAGTTTGGCTCCAGGCACTCTTTCCCACCTTTGTTCAAGAAACCACTTGGATTTATCTACTGTGGAGCTCCTAGGGGTAGCCCCCAAAGTAGCTTAAAAAAACTATGAATAAACCTCCTGATAAAGTGTAGGCATGGCCTGAAATGGCATGTCAGAAGCTCAAAACTGAGGTACTTCATTTTGTTTTACAAGATCATGAAAGCTGTATGTTCTATTTTCTAGCACAAAGTCGTGCAGTGTTTATTCTATGATTTTAGTACCCCTGTTTGAGAGGTCAAAATAGAGTGTATTTCTCAGGAACACACATACCTTTAAGTTAGAAAAACACATGAAAAGAAATAAACAAATGTGGTATATATAAATTATTCTCAATAACTGTATCTCAGTTGCCATTATGGAGTGGAATTCTCAATTTAAAGCTTAAGAAACAGCATTGTTATACACAAGTAACTCCTTCCCCAGGGATATCTAGAAGGGAATAAGGATTCTCTAAGAGAAAATT